ACTGCAAAGGCTGAAAAATCTTGGTCTGTATGAAATTGGAGGTAGTTTGAGGATTAAATTTTTTATGCTTTTTAAGCTCAAAAAAGGGGATCGTATTATACATGAGATCGTATTATACATGAAATCGTATTATACATGAGATCGTATTATACATGAGATCTTATTATACATGAGATCGTATTATACATGAGATCTTATTATACATGAATAAATACGGTAAATCAATATGACTCTGAGTTTCCTGTGTACCTTTTTTATAACCAAAGAAAGACAATGTCTGTAAGATTATCTTGAATATATAATTAAATGAAACTAGGCATTTGAAAAGCCAAAATTGGGTTGCCACATCAATATCCAAGCTCACCAGATTCATATGTAAACACCTCAAAMCTTTGAGGAATCTATGCTTTCTAGTTTTTATATTGCTTAAAAAAAAGGGGGGCCAAGCCCACCACTGGCCACTCCCTGGTTCCACCATTGTACCTGCTGGTGGATAAAATCGCTCCCTCCTCTCACTCTGACTCTCTCAGTCAAGCAAAAACAAAAAAACTACCTCCAGTCTCTACAGTTTTACACACTGTAACACCTACCTATAGTCTGMACGAAAAACATTAACATTTATTGTTAACATTGCTAAAATTAACATTCCTTGTTTAATTTTAGTCTCGTTAAACACTCATGTCAAAATCTACAGATATAATCAAATACCACTTGTTTTTTTTATGGTAAATTGATTATTGATGATTGTCTAGACTGAGTTAAAAAGTTAGGAGCAAACCTTGGACCTCACCAACAAGACTGGATCAAYGACAGAAAGTTGATTTTTGATGGATAGTGGATATTGATCAAAGGGGTCTGGTAAACCTGTATCTCATTTAAAATTAGCATCACATTTAAAATAAACAAGTATTTTTATAGCATTGTAATATTTGGTTCACATCCAATATTAAAATGATCTATTTGTTCTACTTTTAAATAAACAAACGTAACACGTTTTTTTTACCATCTTTACAAGGTTATTAGCATGTGAACTTGCATGAACTYAGGTTCAACAAATCACACTGATCCTTACAGTTAAATTATAAGTAAGAACAGAAAAATCGATGTAATTTATTTTGAGCATTTTGGTGTTGGACTGAGACCCTGCCGTGTGCAGAGGATCTGGTCGGATCAGTGCCGCTGCTGTCTGGTTGTTTCAGGATGCCTGAAATAGCTTTTCTTCAGCAGCGCCCACTCCTCACTGCGGGGCAGGGTTGCTGCATGTGTGATGCTGCAGAAGGATGAGCACACTGGTGGTGAAAAAAAAAAAAACCTCTGCAGAGAGAGAACAGGCTGTGTTTCTGTTTGTGTCTTTCCTCATTCATATTTCAAAATGTTCATATAAAGTTTCAGTGTTGAAAACTGTTCCTTTATGATATACAAACATTTAGCTGCAAACATGACAGTTTTTCTTGCGTGTGTGTTGCAGAGTAAAGCTGTTGCGTTTGCTGTGAGGACCAATGTGAGTTACTGCGGTGCRTTGGATGAGGATGTTCCTGTGCCCGGCACGGCCGTCTCTTTTGATGCCAAAGACTTCCTTCACATCAAAGAGGTGCTGCTCTCCTGCAGTTTGGTAATGCTAGGCTGTGGCCCTTTATGGACGACTAGATTTAGTCCACTCTGTATAATTTTACACAACATTTTTAGTAAACATGTATACGAAATATTCTCTGAATGATCTATTCACAGAGCAAAGATGAAACAGAATCAACACCCCTTTCACTGGAATTGAACTGTTGTCTTTCTGCTGTGACCCTTTTAATTGATCTTTTGAGCATATAACAAAGCTGTTATATACATTCGACACATGTTAAAAACCTTTAATTCTCCAGTTGTATTCTGAGAGAGAGGAAGTCATCATTGCCCCAATATTCAGTTAAACGTTCTCCTCCCCCCTTTTCAGGTTAGCTTCTCCGATTGGCCAAAATCTCACTTAGTTCCTGTAAAACAAAAAGTTACCAATATTATAATCACATTCAAAAACAACAATAAACCCATTCCAATTAATTTTTCYCCYTTTATTCATTTACACAACCTGTGTAAATGAATATTCTAAGATATGGATGAAAATATGTATCACGTTAATTCCTTTCATAATTTTCCATTTGTCATAAATTTTATGAATTTGTGCTGCAGCAAATCMAATTACAGTTATCATACAAGTTTGCAATATTAATCTCATATAAGTTTCACATTAGCTTATTTTACTTTTTGACCATTATAGGATTTCTATCTGAAATTTCCGTAAGAAGCCATGTCTCATATGAAGACTTGTTATTCAAATTAGTCAAATATCCGAAAGTAGCCAGTTAACTCACCTCTGTATCACCACCTGATTAAATGACATATTAACTGTCACCACACTGTGAAAAACCCCTCCACTCAGGTTTACAGAACAGCATTCAACACACAGACCTCAGTAAGGCCTTGGGCTCATATCAAGAAAACCAAACAAAGCAGAGACTCTAATACTCTGTGACAACTCCTTCAAACTAATATTAAATTCCAGTGCTGCACCTACAATGAACAGTTTAAATGTTTATACCTTAAACCACCAGAACAAACATCTTAATACAATCACTTCTTCTTCTGTGTCATCTAATTGTCAGAAAGTGTAATTGYTTTTTTCACGTCACAACCTTCACCTCTGACCCTCCTTCTGTCTGAGGCCTTTGTCTGTTCAGAACCTCCCCAGAACAATTTACTTTGACTCTGTTTGTATTAGCCAGAAAACCCTTTAAATATAGCTAATACACAATACACTCAAATGTAGCTTCTCAYCGCAACTTTTAATGGGAGCACACAGTTTTTCTCTGTCATTTARTCCGTCGATAAACAATACTGGGTAYWATCCATGTTTAACWCCTTCACTGCTGAGAAGAACCAGTTGTCCTTAGRTTTGTGTTTAAAATGTGAACGCTCTTACCTCACTAAATCAACTCAACTCAGGTAAARTGTGAATTATTATGTGACTGTGTATTTTAATGTTAGTCCACCTGTAAGCTWTGGTACTTCAGAATCATCCTCTCCGTTCTCCTGTGTCCCTCTTGTTAAGTCAGTCGTTGTAGAGGCAGTATTATAACCCGCAGTTACAGTCCAATCTCTTAATTGGGTTGTGCAGCTAAAGTCCAAAACAAAACTTACTGTAGTCCATTTTACTCCCACAAATTAAATTCCTTCATTAACCATGTTCTGCAACTAGAAGCCATATTCACAAAGTCACCTGAAAACAAAACATAAAACAAACAGATTAAACACAACACCTCATCCTGTTACACCCAATTCATAACTTCTATGTAGAAATGTTCAATACCATMTTGTCTTTCACCAACATCCACAATATATATATTCACATGTCAACCATTACAGCACAGTAACTATCACACTGTGTCTTACATTTTCCACAATCTGCAAATCACTAATTTACAAATCTACCATAAGTGTGAAAACAAACTTCTTCCAGCTCTGAATGCTGCCTGAAGGTAAAGACCCTGCTGTCCTTGTGAGCTCTAGGCTTCTTTATTGCAATCCTTCATACATCAGTAGTGATCAGTCCTCCATCTCTCGTATACCACTTGTTCCAAACCCTGCTGCTCGTTTATTAACTAACACCCCASCTGTCTTTCATCTTCARGCTGTTAGCTGTTGTTATGGYAAWATTTATTTAACAAAGACAGAAATACGTGGTCCAAGAATGAAGGTATTCTGTGAGATGATCAGTTGAGTTTTATTGCAACAACAGGAAACACAGAGAACAACCTGTCCTGTCTCTGTGCCTCTGCTTCTCTCTGTCACTGTCTCTCCACACTACTCACTGTGTCTCCAGAGGCCTCATATATATATATATTAACAAACACCATTGTGTCACCTTAGCAAGATTTGATACAATGTCAATGGAAAACACAAAGATAAACACAAGTGATATCTAAGAAAGACTGTTGTTAACAAATCATGTTCTGACTTTATTCATTCTATCTGCAGATGAACAGCATGTATTGTGATTTTATCTGTTGCATTTGTTTTGTCGACTGAAGCACTTTGGTTGACACAGGTTATTTTTTTGGACGGAGCAATACACCTAAATTTTGTTGTTGTTGTTATTGTTATTACCTGTGACTGTTTCAATATTTCTCAGTTTAAGGACAATCAGATAATGTAACCCTTTGACATAACCACCTGAACTTTTAGTTGTCATTGTTCAATCAACATCGCTGACTTCATTATTAGTGGCACTGAATAAATGCATTAATTATATCAATTATTAAAACCTTTGTATGCATTTGACATTATCGAAGAGTTTGAAATATTAAAAACAAAAATCATAAAGCTATAAATACTCTAATGCCCCTACTTTTATCACCACATAGATTAAGTTTAAAGCTAAGCTTATAAAACTCAAAATTTACCTGTTTTAATCCTTACATTATCAGATCTATGAACTTATCTTTAAATATTATCATTAATAAAAATAGTCAGTGTCCCGATCAAGGTTATAAGATTTGGATTTTTCATTATAGTTCACTTTTAGTTAGTTTTGACTTATTATTCTCTTAATTCAGTTGGTTCCTATCAGTTTTTACAGTGGATATGCTCATTTATATTAGTTTTTATTTATTTCAGTCAATTAAAATG